TGTTGCCCGACGCCACGACCGACATGGTGTGTGGTTATTGCTCGACCGGTTGCAGCTTGCGCATCCACCTCAAAGACGGCGAGGCGATCAACCTCACGCCGACAACGGACTACCCGGTCAATCTCGGGATGGCGTGTCCCAAGGGCTGGGAGGCGCTGTCGGTGCTCGACGCCGAAGACCGCGCGATCACACCGCTCTTGCGCAACAACCATGGCGACCTTGTGCCGGTCTCGTGGGACGAAGCCATGCGGACGCTGTGCGTGCGGTTCAAAGAGATTGGCGCCGAGCACGGCCCCGAGTCGGTCGCCTTCCTCAGCACGGGGCAGCTGGTCACCGAAGAGATGGCGCTATTGGGCGCCCTCGCCAAGTTCGGGATGGGCATGATCCACGGTGACGGCAACACCCGCCAGTGCATGGCCACCGCCGCCACCGCCTACAAGCAGTCCTTCGGCTTCGACGCGCCACCGTACACCTACCAGGACTTTGAAGAATCGGACGTGATCGTTCTGGTGGGCTCGAACCTTTGCGTTGCCCATCCCATCATGTGGGAGCGCGTCTGCCGCAATCCTCACAACCCGCAGATCGTTGTTATCGATCCACGGCGGACCGAGACGGCGATGCAAGCGACGCTGCACCTGCCGATCAAGCCCAAGAGTGACCTTACCTTCTTCTATGCCCTTGCTCACGTCTTGGTGCGAGAAGGCTGGATCGATCGCGCGTTCATTGACGCCTCGACAACGGGCTTTGAATCGTTCGCCGATTTTGTCAGGGATTACCCGCCGCAGCGTGCCGCCGAGGCCACCGGCATCGCGGTCGAATTGATCGAAACCCTCGCCAGAATGCTTCATGAGGGCAAGCGGGTCTCGTTCTGGTGGACGATGGGTGTCAACCAAAGCTACGAGGGGACGCGTATCGCGCAGAGCTTGATCAACCTGGCGCTGATGACCGGCAACATCGGCCGCCCCGGGACCGGCGCCAACAGCATCACGGGCCAGTGCAATGCGATGGGCTCGCGGCTATTCAGCAACACCACGGGGCTCTTCGCCGGTCGCGACTTCAAGAACGCCGAGGATCGCCGCGAGGTCGCGGACATCCTTGACCTCCCCATTGAGAACATTCCGACCGTCGACAGCCTGCCTTACCACCAAATCATCAAGGGCATCCGCAGCGGCGCCATCCGGGGCCTGTGGGTGCTCTGCACCAATACGGCGCATTCCTGGATCCACCAGGAGGACGCGCGCGAGCTGTTGTCGAAGCTTGACTTCCTTGTCGTGCAAGACATGTACGCGACGACGGAGACCGCGCAGCAAGCCGACCTCGTGCTGCCCGCCGCGGGGTGGGGTGAGAAAGAAGGCACCTTTATCAACAGCGAACGCCGCCTCGGTGTCGTGAAGAAGGTCCGTCGCCCGCCGGGGGAGGCGCTCCCTGACTTCGCGATCTTCCGCCTCGTGGCTGAGTACTGGGGGTGCGGCGAGAGGTTCCGGCGCTGGACCTCACCCGAGGCGGCGTTCGGCATCTTGCAAAAGCTCTCGCAGGGCCGACCATGCGATCTCTCCGGCATGGGGGACTACGCCGCCATCGACCACGCCGGCGGCGCGCAGTGGCCGTGCGTCGAGCCGGTCGCCGAGGTCGCGCAACAGCGTCGGCTGTTCGAGGATGGCCGGTTCTACCACGAAGATGAACGGGCCCGATTCATCTGGGAGGACAGCCGCCCGATGCCCGAGGCGCCCGACGACGCGTATCCGTATCTCTTGCTGACCGGCCGCGGCGCCGCATCGCAGTGGCATACCCAGACGCGCACTAGCAAGTCTCCGGTCCTACGGAAGCTGTACCCGCAAAACATCTACATCGAGATGCACCCCGACGACGCACGCACCGCGGGGGTCGCGCAGCATAGCAAGGTTGCGGTCTGCTCACGCCGTGGGCGGCTCGAAGCGACAGCGTTTCTCACGCCAACAATCCAGCCCGGCCAAGTCTTCATCCCGATGCACTACGAAGCGACCAACCGGCTGACGCTGGCGCACTTCGACCCTTACTCTCACCAACCCAGCTACAAGGACTGCGCCGTCAAGATCGAGGCGCTGGAGGCGAAGCCATGAGCGAAGCGAACGGACAATCGACGGGCGGCTTCACGGCAGAGCAGCAGAACTACCTGCAAGGGTTTGCGCTCGGCGCCGATGTGGCCCGGAAGGTGCGGGGCTTGCCGATCTTGTCGGGAACCGGCGGAGCGATGGACGACACGGTCGTCGTCGGCGCTCTACAACCCGCGACCAGCCTGCTTGCCAACGACCCAACGGCGATCCATCGCGCCGCCCAAGACGAGCAAGTCGCCGTCGGCGGCAAGCTCGTCGCCGAGGAAGTCGCGAAGCGCGACAAGAACCCCCGCGACATGTGGGACGAGATGCGTGGCCGCGCCGCGGCGGGCGAGTATCCGAAGGGGACCGACGCCTTCCTCACCAAGTACCACGGGTTGTTCTATGTCGCGCCCGCTCAAGACTCCTACATGTGCCGCTTGAGGTTCCCCGGCGGCACGATCCGCTCTTGGCAACTCCGCGGCTTAGCCGACCTCGCGGACCGCACGGCCGGCGGCTTCGCCGACTGCACGACCCGGGCCAATCTCCAACTGCGCGAGATCCCTGCGACCGAGTCGATCAACCTCCTAACGGGCCTCCAGGACCTAGCGATCATCAACTACGGCGCGGGCGCCGACAACATCCGCAACGTCACCGCGAGCCCGCTGAGTGGCGTCGATCCGACAGAGTTGATCGATACGCTCTCGCTCGCCAAAGAGATGCATTACTACCTCATCAATCACCGTGAGCTGTACGGCCTCCCGCGCAAGTTCAACATCGCGTTCGATGGCGGCGGATCGATCGCGGCGCTAGAGGACACCAACGACATTGGCTTCACCGCCGTCCGTCTCAAGGCCGAGGCGGCGACGGACTCGCTCCGCCAAGGCATCTACTTCCAGTTCACGCTCGGCGGCATCACCGGGCACAAGGACTTCGCAAGGCCGACGGGTGTCCTCCTCAAGCCGGAAGAGTGCGTCGAAGTCGCGGCGGCGGTCGTACGGGTATTCATTCGGCATGGCGACCGCACCAATCGTAACAAGGCGAGGCTCAAGTATCTGCTCGATCGCTGGGGCTTCGAGAAGTTCGTCGGCGAAGTCGAGAAGGAAGTCGGCCGAGAACTGACCAAGGCGCCGCTCGACGCGGTTGAGCCCCGCCCTTCCGACAACCGCCAGGCACATGTCGGCTTCCACCCACAGAAGCAGCCCGGCTTAAACTATGTCGGTGTCGTATTGCCGGTAGGTCGCATGACAAGCAATCAGATGCGTGGCCTAGCACAGCTATCGGAACGCTACGGCGACGGTGACCTGCGATTGACGGTTTGGCAGAACCTGCTTATCGCCAACATCCCCGACGAATCCGTTGAAGCCGTGAAGGGAGCCATCGAGGCGATTGGCCTCGACTGGCGAGCCACCAGCGTTCGCGCGGGGCTGATTGCTTGCACGGGCTCGGCGGGCTGCAAGTACGCCGGCGCGCCGACGAAGTCCAATGCGATGACGATCGCCGACTATGTCGAGGAACGATTGGACATGGATGTGCCGGTAAACATCCACCTCACCGGTTGCCACCACTCTTGCGCGCAGCACTACATCGGCGACATCGGCCTGATCGCGGCGAATGTGGAAGACCCAGATGACCCCGACGAAACGGTCGAGGGTTACCATCTCTTCGTCGGCGGCGGTTACGGAGAGCGCCAGGGAATCGGCCGAGAGCTCTTCACCGGTCTTCCCTTCCGAGACGTGCCGGCGCGCGTGGCGGGGCTCTTGCAAGCGTATCTCGACAACCGTGTGTCGCCCGCAGAAGCGTTCGTCGATTTCACGCGTCGCGTTGAGATCGACAATCTGAGGGAGATGTGCCTGGGCACGCTGGTGAGCGCCTAAGCGACTTTGATGAAGGAACCAGAGGCGCGAAGGTCACAAAGAGGTCTCAAGGGCGATGAGAGCTGCTTAGCTCAACACCTACTTGCCCGCAGACCTGATTGAATTGAGAGACAAAGATGAGCATGTCAATTATCCCAGAGTCCGCGCCCTTCAATGCCGAACAGCGGGCTTGGCTCAATGGCTTCCTTGCGGGATGGATGGGGGCTCCAACGAATGGGGCGCCAGAGGCGGCCGCGTCGGGCGATGCCGTCTCCGACGGCGTTGCGCTACTGCCGGCGCCGGATGACGAGGCGGAAGAGTTTCCGTGGCACGACTCGAGCATCGCAATTGAAGATCGGCTGGCGCTCGCCGAAGGCAAGCCGCTCAAGCGACGGCTGATGGCGGCCATGGCGCAGCTCAACTGCGGCGCCTGTGGATATCAATGTCTGACTTACTCCGAAGCGATCGCCGCCGGCGAGGAGAAGACCCTATCGCTCTGCTCACCGGGCGGGAAGGAAACGGCCAAGGCGCTAAAGCGACTCATCAAAGAGACGCCATCGACCGCCGCGACCACGGAGGCCCCCGCCGCCAAGGCGGCGCCGCCGATGGGATACAGCCGCTCCAACCCCTACTCGGCGGTTGTTAAGGCTTCGTCCAATCTGAACGGGGAAGGATCGTCGAAGCAGACGTCGCACGTCGTGATCGATCTCGGCGACAGCGGCTTGACGTATGAAGCGGGCGATTCGCTGGGCGTTTACCCGACGAACTGCCCCGACCTTGTGGCGGAGGTCTTGAATCACCTTGGTCTTGCCAACGACGAGGCCCTCTCGCAACGACTCATCAACGAGTTCAATCTCCGCGACGCCTCGGACGAGCTGCTAGAACTCCTCACGCAGTCCACGCCGAACCCCGATGAGGAGCTCACGATCGCTGCGTTGGTGGACTCGGATGAACTCGACGGTCTGGATGTCCTCGACGTGCTCCGCAAAGCCCCCTCGGCAAAGCCGACGGCCGACGACCTGGTTGCCTGCCTCACTCCGATGGCGCCGCGGCTTTACTCGATCGCCAGCTCGCTCAAGGCCCATCCCGGCGAGGTGCACCTGACCGNNCGACAACGCTGTTACGTGACCGCGTCTACAAAGGGGTGGCGTCGACAATGTTCGCCGACCGTGTGACGGCGGGCGGCAAGGTGCGAGTGTTTGTTCAGCCTTCACACTGCTTCGGCGTCCCGGCGAGCCCCGCGTCGCCAATGATCATGGTCGGCCCCGGCACCGGCATCGCCCCGTTTCGGGCCTTCCTCGAAGAGCGCCAAGCCACGACCGCCAGCGGCAAGAACTGGCTCTTCTTCGGCGACCAACACGAGGCGTGCGACTTCATCTATCGCGACGAGCTTGCCGCGATGCAGTCGGCGGGCTTGCTGACGAGGCTGAGCACCGCGTTCAGCCGCGACCAGGAAGAGAAGGTCTACGTCCAAGACCGGATGCGTGAGGCGGGCGGCGAGCTCTGGGCCTGGCTAGAAGACGGGGCCTCGTTCTTCGTTTGCGGCGACGCCAAACGGATGGCCGCCGACGTGGACCGCGCCCTCCTCGACATCGTGGCTCGGCACGGCGCCAANNGCCAAAAGCACCGAAGAAGCCAAAGCTTACATCGACAGCATGAAGGCGACGGGACGCTACTCCCGCGACGTCTACTGATCGCGCCTTGCCACCAAGCCGATTGCGTTACGCAACCGCGGCCTGCGTTAGAAATTCAACTCCCACTGGCTGTAGAAGAACTCAGCATCGTTGGTCCCGACGATCTTGCTGCCGGCCCACAGACGACTGTAGCCGAACAGGATGTTCGACCGTGCAGAGATCGCATACTTAGCGATCAGATCCAGTTCACTGCCGAAGTCCTTCTGACCAGCGACCTGGTT